CGCGTGCTCTTCGCCCAAACACAAGACGCAAAGATCGTGCGTGTCATCAGGTGTCAAATAACGAGGACACAGATCCACACACTTCTTAAAAGCCTTACTAGTGCTTGCCATGATAAAGAAGAATAATCGTTCTTACCGGAAATGCATGCTTCAAACAAAACAGTCCTTGGAGACGAAGAAGAGGATCTCGTGTTCTCCCGGCGCCCTTTTATATTGTGGTCGGTGATGACGTCACAGGCTGTCGCCGGCCAATGTTATTGTCGTGTTTAGATGTATGCTTCAGACACCGGTCACGCTGAAGGCGTTCCCCATAGCGACCTCTAGAGGACGCAGTTCAAAGTTCCCTCGGAAGGGAACTAAAGTTGTATAGCGTCAGACAATTACTGTAGATAGAAACTGTAAATCTTCCTATACTTCTGCCGTTGTTGTGTACAATATTTATCATGCTCATTGCACAATGCTCAGCGTTTGATCTGAGGCTTACAATAACCTTCAGATAACCCAGAATATGAGTTTGATTTTAAGTGTCTACTGGGGGGAAAAAATCAATGAGTAAAAAATCAACACTTAGCATCACAACTAAACATGTGGGCTTCAGCAAACAAATACAGAATATCTTACAGTCTTATTGCAGACTCCCACTCATTCATCATACACTCAATGCTAATATAATATCATACCATTACAGCAGCAGACAGTGCAGATGTGTGTTCAGAGGTCTTCATTAAAGATGCAGATCTCGTCTTGAGTTCTCAGTGAGATGTGAGCTCTCCAGAGTTTCCTTCGGCACAGCAGGAGCTCAAACACACACACTCCTCACACACACTCCCACTGTCCTCACACTCCAGGACTCTCATCCTCATCCTCACCACACACACTCACGGCATGGCAGGACTCGACCCCGTGACCCCTGGCATTACCGGCCCGCTGCTCTCATTAACCAGTACTGTGTGTGTGTGTGTGTGTGTGTGTGTTTGGTGTCAAGGGTGTCGTGTATGTCACGGTCGGGAGGGTTTTTTAAATATGTCTGTGCACATTCATGTCATGAAAACAAAGCGGCTGCATGTATTGATTCACACCGGCCCGTTGTACATACTAAACCTGTGCTGCTGTTATTCTACTGACAAACCTCAGCACTCAAGAGTTTCACTCAAGAGAGATAGAGTTTCCTTCAAGATAGTGTATTTAGAGAAATGCAAGCACACATCCAGATGATGAAAAAAATTTTCTGAGAACTTTTAGGGTAATGTTCCTATGAAGTTTTAAAAACATTATTTCTGAATGTTCTCTGAACGTTCAAAAATGTTCAGTGTTTTAAATGTTTAAAAAACGTCTTTTCTTGGTTATGCACACTTATTTTATTTTATTTTATTTTATTTTACTCCAAACTTCAGCCTTGCCATCACAGGAATAATTAAATATATTTTTTAAATACATTAAAATAGAAAACAGATATTTCAAGTTTTGTAATATTGCATTATTTGTAATAATATTTCACAATATTACAGTTTTACTATACTTTTTTAATTAATGAAAACAATGCATATTTATATATTGAATAAAAATAAATAGAAATTAGTTACTGTATGTAGAAACTGTAAATCTCTCATCATCTTCATTGTTGTTCAATATGCAAATATATTAGAACCTATGATACATTATTTTTTGAAAACAGCTATTTTAAATTGTAATAATATGTCACAATATTATCATTTTTTTATTGTATTAATGACTAAATAAATGCATCCTTGGTGATCAAAAGAGAACAACTGTAATAATTCCAAACTTTTGACCACTAGTGTAGCTTATATTATGACCTAATTTTGCTTCTTTTGACTGCCACTGTACACTGTAGAAATGATATGATCAATAATGTAATTTACATTAGTTTTTTAACTCCTCAAAATAAGTTGCACAATTTCAAGTAACATGAAATTCAACTTGATGGTTTTTAAAGTCAGTTTAATGTAATTTAAGTTGCAATGACTTGTACAATCAAGTTGATTAAAAAAATCAACACTACTTAAGTTTTTAAGCTGAAATAGGTGAAAGTTTTTACGCCGTACGGTAAATCTGGTATCTGTAATCTGTAAAAGAAGAGGGGTTTTCTGAGTGCTTTAAAGAAATGGAGGAACAAAGGCAGCGTCACACCACTGTTCATCTCTCTCTTCATACAGTAAACTCTTAAAAATAAAGGTGCTTCACGATGCCATAGAAGAACCTTTTTTGACTAAATGGTTCCATAAAGAACCTTTAACATCTGAAGAACCTTTCTGTTTCACAAAAGCTTCTTTGTGGCGAAAGAAGGTTCTTCAGATTATAAAAAGGTAAGAAAGAGATGGTTCTTTAAAGAACCTTTGACTGAATGGTTCACTGAAAAAAAAATGATACAAAATTTTTTTAAGGTAAGTGGTTGCAAACAATTTATTTTAGCTACATTTGAATAAATTTTTTTTTGAAAGTTAGTCAACTAAATATGTCCTGGCAGAGAAATATATTATTTATTTATATATATATATATTATTTAGATATTTATCAAAAAAGCATATATAATTTATATATAATATTATATATATATATATATATTACTGTCATTTAGTTATTTTGAATGATTTTTTATAATTTGAGTTCTGATTTTAGTTTTTAGTTTTAGATTTTAGTTAAAGTTTTATTTTTTATTTTTTATCTGTCTATATAGTTTTCTTTTGATTTTTATGGTTCTTTAAAGAACCTTTGACTGAATGGTTCACTGAAAAAAAAATGATACAAAATTTTTTTAAGGTAAGTGGTTGCAAACAATTTATTTTAGCTACATTTGAATAAAAATTTTTTTGAAAGTTAGTCAACTAAATATGTTTATTTAAATGTAGCTAAAATAAATTGATTGCAACCACTTACCTTAAAAAATGTTAGTAAATTCAATGAATCGTTTTTTTCAGTGTTCTTTGTGGAACCAAAAATGGTTCTTCTATGGCATCGCTGTGAAGAACCTTTTAAGCACCTGTATTTTTAAGAGTGTATATGATGTAGTAGCGTGCGAACACGTGTGCCAGCGGCCCTCAGGGAAATGCTTGTGAACAAGTGGAAAATGACAGGTTCCTCTCCACTGATCACAGAGCCACGAGTCGCTGTGAGGTCATCTGAAAAGCATGCACAGGAGCGCAGCATGATGGGAAGAATACAGAGCACTCTCTGGTTGCTGTCCGCCGCCGGCACGGGTCACTGCGCAGCCCGTGTAAACTTACTTTCTCTTTTCATCTGTTTTCCTCACTCCTGCTGCCTTTTATTTGACCTTTTGACATTTTTTCCTCAGTCATATTTTCGGTGTTTTTCACACTTCATCTCTGCCTGTTTGCCCACCTGTCATTCTTCACCGTCTCTGTGCCGTAGGATGCGCTGGAGGTCCTGGCAGAGAAATA